GGGGAGGGGGAGGGGTTTGTTTGGGGAGAGGGGTGCAACAATGAATGAATGGAATTCCAAAATCTCTGTAGATGTTCATTGAAATGAAAAATAAGCTAAATAAAAAAAAAAGAGAGAGAGACACACAAAAAAGCTGTTATTTAGGCTAACACCACAAGCCCTTACTATGGATTATACCTTAGCATAAAGAAAACAAAAATTCTAACAAGTGTATTAATAAGTATCAATATGATAAATTGAGAGAATATTGAGGGTATTAAATATTTTCATTTACTTAGATTCACAGTCATTATCAATGGATATCAAGAATTCTAATGACATATTGCTTGTGCATATCTGCTTCGAAAGACCTTTTTTAGGTGTTAAAAGGTACATTGTTACTTTGATGACTAGTGTATGCCTGATCACAGCTATAGTATTTTCACCTATCAGCATGCAGAAGCTTACCTATGAATAAGAAAGACCAAAGAGGAATGTTTCATTTGAATTGTGATATTGACAAAGAATATGAAATACACCATGGACTTTTCAAAGAATTATTATGTCTATCTTGGTTGATGATCAGTTAGCATGTTTTCTGAATCTAAAGTTAATTATAGCTATTTTAGGGGAGAAAAAGTCTGTCTTGAAAAAATACAGCAAAATGCTTCTTATGAGTTAGCTGGGTTAGGAGGGTTAGTCCCAGATAAAGACATCATGATTGGTAGAGGGTCAGGAGGAAAACAAACAAACAAACAAACAAATTCTCAATGACTTAGACCGGACTCAGTGGTTGCAAAGATGGGCTTAAATAGACAAGATTATGAGCACATTGCGGGAGTGGGCAGTGTTTTGTTGTGTTGGACAAAGGGTCACTATTAGAACCTAAAGTCCCTAGCAACAATAACCATTCGTATTGTTTAACTTTCAGATAAATTATTTTAAAAAACTATCCTTAAAACTAAAAATAAACCACTCAGGAGGGTGGCAGCAGCATCATCTATCTATACAGCTGGAAAGGCCCAATCTCTTACTTGTCTCCTGTGTCAGCCCTACCCCTCACTGCTCTCCCAGTGGTAGGCAGTATTCTCACCCACCTTCCTACTCCCCACACCCTGTTACCCACGCACTTCTGCAAGACTTAACTCTGTCAGGCCATGCATGCCCATAGCATCTTGTTTATGAAGCCAGAAGCTCCCAGAGCGTGTAGACTGTGCCACTCCTGACCTGCTGTAAGCCACCAGATTAGAGAAAATATTTTCTCTGGTGAAGTACTCATCACTTATCGACAAAAGTGCCATCTTTTGCCAAGAAGACAAGCCTAGGCTCCTCTAAGGCCAGCATAAACTTGTCTCGGATTGGATACCCTACCTCTTGATACATCTTTGATTCATTATTCCCATAGCATGCATGTTTGTTTTATGATATTTGTCTTTATATTTATGTTTTA